CCGTTGAATAATAAATAATTTATTTCAGGAGCCAATGCGATTACCCTTTGACAGTCTAATAAAATTACGAATTACGGTAAAAAAAATGTATATTTCACACGTATCTTTTCAATAGTTACACCGTGTGTGATCATTTTTAGAACGCGGGATACGTAACCCTACGTCATAGTTATGATAGCAATATCTCGTCCCTTTCTAACTGTCTTCCTAAGAGTCCCTCTTGGGTTAAACACATATATTTGACGCTCTGCCCGAGTCTCACGGGATAAACTGTCGAAGGGTTACGTAGGAGTTTCGTAGACTCCATATCGAGCTTTACGTCCCAAAAACGGTGTCTTGACAGTAGAGGGTTAAGGATGGTGTATGATTTTTATGTTATAATTGCCTTGTATTATTCCTTTATTTTCATAAATTTATTCTTTCTCAAATTTTATAAAATCAGTATCAATTACATTCCACTTGTACTCTCAATTTTTATCATTTCACTTTGGCAATTTTCTTTACTCCTTGCACTGCGAATGAATCTTCCAGTGACATGCTATTTTCAGACTATTTAATTTACTGAAAATTACAGTGTGCCAGTAAAATAAATATTTCTCTTTAATTTTTCGTCAAAAAATATTATTTTCTTAAAAAGGAAATTAAAAAAATTACGCACCGAAGTTTATTACGACCATGAGTCTATACTCTGAAGTAAATCGTTGCAATAATGTAATTCAAATGCTTAAGAGAATTTAGCTAAGTAATTTTGTAATGCAACGGTATAAAAGATATTTATATTTATATTTATATTTGGTGTATATAATTTCATCAATTTTCTCTACTTTTTGTTTCGTGGAGTTGACCGATTTGGCAAATGAACGGCTCATATATGCAACTAATTTTTGGTAGACATATTCTAGCTACGATCGTGTTAATTCACACATGTTCATACTGATTATACTAGCGTTAAAATCTTATATCTGCTTTTAACTAGGTCTACATATGTAAGTGTAATACTGTAGAAGGACTTAAGTAAGTCGTAAATATTTATAGCCACTGAAAGGTTTTTAAATGTTAGATTGATAATTTGCAAAACATTTCTACAAATTAAATTTTTTCGAAAATAAAATTGTCTAATGAAATTATACTGATATTTAACAGTAAAAGTGGAAGTTTCTTTAGCAAGGCAAGAATACATTGTTAAGCAGTCAATTTCTTTTTATCAGAGTAGATCGAAGGAATCCTTAAAAAGTAAAATTTGAATTTATTTAACATTTAGAAAAAAAACTTACGGTATCGGTTCAGAGTGCGTGTCGATGTGTAATGCTTCATTAAGTTGCGAAACATGAAGCTTGCTCCCTCCCATTCTTGGCTGTAAATTTAAAGAAATAAATGGTAATTTCAATTAGTAATAAATTAAAGAATGGAAAATTAAAAGAAAATGAATGAAAGATTCGTTCGCAAAAGGAAATGTTACGTTCTGATACAAATATTAAGTATTAGAGTACTAAAAACATACCTTCATGTTTATGTACCTTCATTCATAAGTACTCACTTTTTAATATCACAAAATGATAACAGATAGAAACAATTATTATATAGAAAAAATTTATCATTTTGGATGATAAATATAAAACAATATGATTTTCAAAACTATTTTATAATCTGTATAGTAATATTTCGGCAATTACACAAATTATCATTACGTACTGGATATTATAACGAAGTTCGTAAAATCAAAAGTGTATCGTTAAAATTACACATATATTTCATAATAATAGTTAAGTATAATATTAAATTTTAAATAAGCGCAGGATTGCATTACATGTTTAACCCTTTAAACTCCAAATTTTTTTTTAATTTTCTTTTCAATAATTCCCTATTATTTTAAGTAATTTATTTGAAATGTACTCTAAAAGACATTTAGTTGATAGGAACCAATTTAAACAATTTTTTTTTTTTGCTAATTATATTGAAAATAGCATTAAGGGTCATATATATGTGCACCTATTGCTTATCCAGGTAAAAAAAAACACTGCAAAATATAATACATATTTAAACTGGTAATTTAAAAATTATTTCATTCATACCTGTGAATAAAACTGATGTCGAGTCACACTCGACAAAGGGTTAAAATATGATCAAGTTTATATTTGAATGTAGTGAAAATATTTGTATAATACTGACCAATGAATTGTAGTGTGGCTGGATTGTGTTTATATTAACTGGTCTGGACGGCATATAATGATGGGGTCCCATACTCATTTTCCCTCCAGCTGATCCATTTGCCAGCAGACTGTGTGCAGCTGGAGAGGCAACTGGTTTGTTTTGCATTGGCGTTTCTGTAGTTAATACACACCGTTGTAATATTTATTCAAAATTACAGATAGAAATGAAAAATATGTTACACTTGGTGGAAAAGCTATAACGAGGTCGTAAATCTCGACGTTAATCTTTTCGTGACCAGTAGGAGGCATACGTCTCACTTGAGTATCGAAACAAAAATTGATCTCAATTTAGTATTCATCACAGGCGCGATGATCGATAGGTAAATAAAAAATTCTTCAAAAAAATGATTTGGCCACAAAAGGATTAAGTGAAAACATCGATTGATCTAGCCGCACACAGGGCCGTTCTACGCATCTTACAGAAGCCCCCAAATCTCAAGTCAGAAATCGAGTCGAGTATGTAGAGGTAAACAAAGGCACGTGATTGGGACAGGAGCGCATTCACAACCTTCAGATACTGTAACACTAAACTGGAGAAGTCAAAGATGTATGACCAGCGTTGTACTTTTGGCGAAAGACATAAGCTACTTAGAATAGTAATACTCCACTGGAAATTAGGAAGCAATACGGCTCTGGCACTGTATTGGCAATGTGTGACCCTAATAACGATCCATGTAAATTCGCTTTTGAACTATCGTTTGCCAACCAATAGCTAGAGTCCCTTGCATTTATACGTCGTTCAAAATGAGAGTAACCTCGCTCTCGGACCGATTCTCGTCCGTTCTGCGCATGGACAGAGAGCGTAGCAGAGGGTAAGACGGAGAAAAACGTAGGTGGTTAAGTGGGGGTTTGGACGTTCTAGTGGTTCTAGCCCTGCCTTAGGCACGTCCCATGCGCGAAGCGAGGTTACTCTCATTTTGAACAGAGTATATCACGTGCTTATTGTTAGTAAGCGAATGTTTTGTTTACCTCTAACTGACTCGACTCGTTGGACGGACTATAGCGGCTATGATTGGATCAGTATAGATCCTTTTTTCTCCGTTTTCATGACTTTTTTTTAAATATACTGTAATGGAAGTACCGCTGCCAAGTTGACTTTGGATCGCTCTAACCGAGCCTCGAGCTCCTTATCTTACCCAAATGATGTTTTGACGATCGAATTTCACGTTATTTCACTCCTGTCTGATTTTACGACCTCCCTATAGCTCCTTTACCAAGTATACACATAAATTAACGAAATACACGATATATTATATGATATTTTTATGCAAAATTAAAATCGTAAGTTTTATTGTTTGAATCAAATTGAAAAATACCTGATCTAAGCCCGGGTTCTGCGATAACTTCGACATAAGAGATGGGAAATATCCCCTTTCTGTCTCCAATACGTCCTTCATACCAGTTTTCATCGACTCTTCTTGTCAATACAACAAGTTCGCCTAAGGAAATAATACTTCATTGTATCTTGATCATGAAAATTATCTCTTCTGCTAGTATTTTTGTCGTATTTACCTTTGGCCAAAGATAACTCAAGATTTGTTTGAGCGACGAAATTGAACTTAGCTCGTGCTTGACCTTCGTGGGGTTTCTTTGGTGTCGTTCGCATGCCATCGTATGGCAAAATCTGTAGCGCATATAGTAATACGAACAAGATAATTAAATGTAAATGTAAAAATACAGAGCTTATATAAGAATCTACCGTAATTCTAAATTCTTTTAATATATCCATTAAAATGTTGCAAACAGAATATTATTCTTCCTTAAAGGTCAGCAGCTGTGAGAAATAGCTTAAAAGTAAAACTTGCTGATGATCCCATATTTTTTCAATTTCAATATTTTACAAATTACAACAACATAATGTATTTAATGCAAATTTTACATTTGTTTCTCAAACGGTCATTATATTGTAAAAAACTGCAACATAAAAGTCGGAGATTGCCCAGAACGTCTACTTTTATCAGTGAATATACATTTTAATAGGAATAATCTTAATATCATTGTTTAAAAGAATTCTTGGATTTCTATTCTTCATCTTAGACTTTTAAACGTATGTAAAATTAACAAATTTATGGAAAGTATTGAAATCTTGTGAATTAGGTATTAAAGTAATTATATCTTTGTTTGCTTATTACAATTGATCACTAATTTACTATTATTAGGTTGGTGCATATGAAACGTTGTTTTTTGAAATGAAACTTTAGATTCATTGTGTTTCTACGAAAGCTAATGTATTTGATCAAAATAATTTCTACAGAATTCTACACACTTTTCCTAAAGATTAACTAATTTCACTGTTCCAAATAAGTATACAAAAATCATTGGTCTATGGATTAAAAAATTTTTTGAATGCTATTTTTACAGTGTTTTCTTTTCGGAATAATCTATTTGTTTAAAAAATTGTTCAACTGTTTGAAGAAATGGTAGTCTGTTAGAAAAAGGTCGAACGAGTAGGGGAGGATGAGGCAAAATTTCACATTCTTTACCGTGGATGGTTTCCAATAATTTTTCTTAAAACGTTATCATTCTAGGCCCTACCTGGCCTTCCTCTTGGCTCATTTCCAATGAAAAGTCACCAATCTTGAATTTTGCACACGAACGCTGAAGTGTCCTAACATTCACGTAATCTTCTTCAAATGCTAAATTTATATTTTTAGCAGTTTTCACCGCAGTTTTTCCGAATTTAAATTTACGTAAATAAGTTTCGCGCACAACCTGATCATTCATCATGTCACCTAATAATGTCTAAATAATTGCATTACAATTTTTTTCACTATTCAATATACACGTGCATTACAGCAAATTCCTTCTTCTTGACTGTTATGTATAAAAATTTACGATTAAACAAAATTTAATATATATTTCAACTGATAAGAAAACATTTCATTTGCACCAACCTAATACAATATTTTTTATAGCACTTGAAACTGGAAGTAATTTCCCTTATTATTCGGCTAACTTACTCAGGTTAAGTGTTTATTTCGTTAAATACAACAGAAGTTAAGTCAAGGGTGTAATTCTGATCTAAACCGTTCAAAAAGTCCATTTCTGTTTTTCCGCATTTTTCGCAAGTAACGGGAGTTTACGCATCAGGAGAGAAAGTTAATAACAGCATTAACGCGTTTTAAGTTGAATTACCTCGACGTAATTCGATGGAAACAGGCCGATCATCGCATTATGTTCACCCTCGTACCAGTTTTTGTCTACCTGTCGTCGTACAAATATTATGTCACCGCGACGGAAACTCAATTCCCTTGGAGATTGTCTGATAAAGTTATAAAGTGCCCTTGCGATGAGCCGCGGTTCCGGCGTTTGCTCCTGAGATCTGCTTCTGTGGCTCAGATCGTCGGCGAAATCGTCGAAACGATTCGGGGGAATTGGTGACTTCTGAGATGGTCTGAAATCAATGGTAACAGAACGCTTGAGTTTGCAGAAAAGAATTGAAAAATTGTTGAACAAATACACGTGTATGCAGTGATAAATACAGAACGTTCAGAAATAGCGATACGATAAAGAAAGGAAGGAAGATTCCTTTTGTGGAAGAAAGTAGAAAGTGTAAGATCAGCTTCTTTCGTATGATTTCTTTTTTTAATTAGAATTCAAGATCTGCTAGGTACGCGGCATGGTTCACTCACTCTAATGCTAAGGTACATTCTATGCAAAACATTTTTTAATGTTTATTCAACAGTAGCATTTCGCAATAACGCAACGAATTCGTTGATATCAGTAATTACACTAATTGTTTTGTATCAGAACCTGTGTAAAACTCGAGCGATATATTTATATTTGTAAAGTTTGATTTAAAATTTTTATTGAAATCATACTAACAGTAACGATAAAAGCAACTAAATGAAATAAATTACAATTCACTTTTATTTCAATGAAATTTTCTTCAAAGTAACTGGTTATTAAAAAAAAGTTGAATTAAGCTCAATCATATTTTGTGCTTATTAGATGCTTTCATGATGATCCACTTAACAACGAAGATTGTTTCGCATAACGATCTTCTGAGCAGCCTAATTATAATTTTGTAACAGAACAGAGTGAATTATATTATAAAGAAGTAAATTTAATAATTTTAGGTATGCTAGAGTATTTCAGTGTCATATAGTACTTTTTCGTGTAAAAATAAGAAAAAAGCATTATGTATTGTTACAAAATTTATGAGTGAAAACAAAAATCATTTATTTTATAAATAATCCTATTTTCTACTTAATTGTTTTACGATTGTATCTTCATGTCTACGTAATTTCTTATCATCTATTTTATCGTGATTTTTGAGCATGCATAAATTTTTCAAAATGAAATGCTTTCATACAAAATTCCTGAATATACTTCAAAAACAAAAGAACATTCTACACTTGCACATTTAACCCTTTGCGGCCGGGACAGTCTGATACGTAGGCGAGAGATTTTGGGAGCGTGTGTTGGAGATACGATATACAGGGTGGGCCAAATAAACTATTACAAGCTGCTTTTTCAGCAACCACTGCAGACATCGACTTTATGTTTCTTTTGAATTAAATGGAACAGGGGGGTTAATTTTGCAGAGTGCAACAAATTGTTTAGGGTGACTGTTACGGGAACAAAGGGGGCCCCTTCATTTTTCTTCGTTTAATGGGTTATTCCGACAGCTCTTAACGAACTGAATAACATTTACCTGAAGCATTTTTAAAAACGAATTAAAATCGATTTTAAGTACGTTAAGGACAAGTATTCGAAGTTACTTCCATTCTGTTTATAAACATGCTCTTCTAGATATTTGCTTGATAATGGGAAAATGATTTCCTGGCACATTTTCTCAACAATGCTATCCTTGTTTAGATTTCCTACTAGCGTACGATTTAAAAAAAATTGTAATTATTGTAGACATAGTGTCGGTTTGAATAGGAAGAACTTCTTCTCACCAGAAACTCAACTTTAAACGTTTCTAAAAGATTAAATAATTGATATATCAAAAATATTGCATTACTCCTTGCTGGCGAATACAGCCAGCAATCGATGTTCTAGCAACAGAGGTTTTGGAATAGTTTCATTTTGAAAATTTGTTACTTTTCTAAAATCGGAGAAAAGAGCTGAAAGTTACGTTTATATGCTCTGTAAAAATTGAAACTTCTCATTCAGTAGTTACCTCTGAAGAACATTCCCAAACTTTTATCTACTTTTGGAAACCTCGTTGTGGTGTAAGTACCTCCTTTAAATGTACGATTTATAATAAAATTTTAAACTGATCGTATACAGATATGGAAAATAGAGTTTTATACAAATTTGTTAATTTTATTCCGAAATAACTACACAGTTATCCTTCTGAATTCCGAAAATCGTGGACAATAATTGGAAAATAATGATAATAAACGATGAATAATTACGATAAACTGCATTCTTAATAAACTTATCGACTTTGTGAATTTTATTCGCATTACGCTTCCCTTTAAATATTCATGCAGAATTCTCGAAGCAAACAGCTGAGTGGAAATCAAAGCAATCTCCTTCTTTAAAGGGGTGTTCCCGCGGCTAACCATATAGACAAGACTTAATGATCCCTTTCTTAAATTAAAGGCAAAAACGGAATTATTTCATTTGCACGCATTTAATATTATCAGGACATGACTTTCCCACTTGTAAATTCCCAATTCATTTATACGCGTGACTTCTACTCATAATTTTGTGGAACAATCGTGTGATTTTTTATAAAGTGCAATTTCTCACGCTGAATCGAAGGTATGCCGTGATTTAAAAGTCAATTTAAACAGGTTTAGGTTTAAAACGATCCGTAAAATAATATTTTATTTCGAATTCCCTTTAAATCTTATCAACACATGCAAAAATATGTTCGAAAATTAAAGATACGAATTTTATATAAATCATGCGAAAATTGATGATAATAGACAGTTGGAAAGTAATTACCCTATTTGTATTACACACTTTTTAAATGGTGTATAAAAATTTCCAAATATCGTTTAAACTGATTGCTACGTAATAAAATATTTATTTACGTATCTTTCGAAATATTTCAATCTTTTACCAACTGACCAGGTGTTGAATAATTAAATTAAACATTTGGTCGTTACTATACCCACGTTAATTCAATTTTTCAAGCTAGACATTCATCGAAATCAATTCCTTCCATACAATGATAAATGTCAATGGCATGTCAGTCGTGCATAATTAGATTCACCGTAAGTCGATGGTACTTTTCGTTGCTTAAGTTATTATACAACATTCTACGTACTCTAAGTTATTTTACGCAGGCGTTGTAATAGAAGCGTAGGTGAGACACGTGTAACGAGCATACGAAACAATTCCATTTCATCTCATTTTTTGTCAATTATTATTTGGTAACACGTAAGAGACATGAATTAACAGAAATAGTTGCAAAATATTAGAAGTAATATTAGATAAATTAGAACATTGAAAAATATTTCGAATTTAACTTGCGAAATATCGTACAGGTATTACGTAAATCAATTATAAAACTAATTTGCATCAATTGATTGATCACCAATTAACGACGTCTATTAGTAGAACATTACGTAAACAGATCGCATACAAATTCTTCGCATTCAACGATCAATGTTACTTTATAACAAAATTTCAGCAATATTATTATTATTATTATTATCAAGGATTTCTATTAATTTTGTCATTTAATCACAGGCAAAATAGAAGCAAAATTAGAAATTTACATCATAGACTCGAAGGAATTACCATAGCAGATGCGCTTTGAGCTTCTTATCGAGAAGCTCTAACGTTTCATAAACGAACACTCGCGTTTCTTACGAATTGTCCGTTTCTTCCGTACGAGACGAGCTGTTCTGAATTAATAGCAAATTGAGAGGATGAAACTTACATGAAGTTATGTCGCCGTGAATCAGCATCGTGCAGCTCCTGGAGGTATTTGCGACGACGTTCTTCTTCATAAACGCGCCGCATATTCTCTGCGCTTCGACGAGCGAGCTCTTCCTCACTCCATGGTTCTTTCGCCTCTGTACGCACTGGTGAACGATAGTGAATCGTCACCTCACCCTCCACATAACGCCTCGGTGATTCTGCGATGACAGAGAACGTTCGTTATTACACTCGCATCACTTCCCCAATATCGCTTATTTCTGTTTAATTTAGCCATGCGTTTCCATCTTCTTGGTGCAATTTTTAAATTACACAGAGTACGACCGAAAGTATCTATTACACTTTTAGCATTGGTTAATAAGTTTATTATGGAATAATGGGCACATGAACTTTGCAAGAAACAATGTAACGACACTCGCCCGGCAATTCTCTAACGCGAATTGCCGCGCTCACTCTCCCCTCTCCGGTAGTATTGTACAAGGAGGTGATTCCATATGCAAAGTAAATGAAAAACGTAGAATAAAATTTTTTCGGTAATTACCTGGAAAATGGGGCTTCAACTCCAGTGATCTTGATCTTGGGATATGTTGAAGAGAAGATGGTCCTGAGTGACCTTTGTCCGAGGCGTGAAACGATTGTGGTTTAAAAGTTACGAGAAAAAGAAAATTGTACATGTTACGTTACATTTATGTGATTAAAAATGAAACTGCATGTGCATTTGTATAGGACTGCGATCCTAATAGTGGTAAGGTATTGACCTTCTGCGTTTAGGTTAGGTTATGCATTTCTTTTAGCCTAACCTAACCCGACTTTCTGAGCTTAAGTTTGCAATTCTCGTTTTGTCGCAACTTTCAAACCGCAGTCGTTCCACGCCTAGGACAAAGTGCATGTTACTCAGGACCCTTCCCTCTACAACATATCAGAAATTCAATAAAATGGGAGTTGAGGCCCCCTTTTTCATATAATTACCATTTTTTCATCTGAGGCTCCGTTTGAAAATCCCTCATAGCTAATGTAAGATGTATCGTGTTTGCATACAATGTCTACGCGACTTTTACGAGTGACTAGGCGCAAGAAAGAGAAACACAAAATTTGATTAACAATATTTCATTATGCCAATTAAGGAACTGGTGCCTTCGTGCAAACGCACGCAACAAATTTTCGAACCCGATTTTCTCCGAACAAATGTTATTCTACGTTTATTATCTATTTTTGCACGAGGAATCATCTCTTGGCCTGCTTGTACAATATTTTCGGACACACACTGTATACACTGCCATTCGTAGGTATTGAACTCCTATTATATTCGTATAGAAAGTATTGTACGATTGAAATTACATTTCTGTTCGCCAAAGTTAATATCATGCAGCGAAGCGCAAAAGTGTAAGCAATGAGTTGCCACTGATACTAGTCGAATTCGTTCAAATTATGTCGTGTTTGATGTCATTTTCATCAGAAAAATCTCATCAATATGTTGAAAAAACATTCCGATGAAAATTTTAGATGAAAAAACGTTAAATTAAAAAAGTTGGTATTTAAATCGCTTGGTTGCCTCGACTCACGTTTCATCCTTATCTTTTATTCGCTGTCCTTGTCTACGTTCGGCAAACTACGAAGGCGGGCGCGAGGCTCGAAAACGTAGTCCCTGACTCTACAAGTGTCAGGTTTAGGTTCCTTGCGGACTGACACTTGTGGAGAATTTACTGTACTGACAAAGTTTGATGGGAAAAAATTGGGACACCTTGTATGTATACTGATATATTTGAAAGCTATGTTAAATTTCTATGTTAAAGTTAATATCATGCAGCGAAGCGCAAAAGTGTAAGCAATGAGTTGCCACTGAAACGGCCAATACTGCTATATTTTGCACTAAACAATGGGGTACAAACGCCTAAAGTAATTAGTTGAGTATTTTACATAGAATGTAACACTTTTCATTCGTTTTTAGTTGCTACAGTTGTGTAAGTAACTTTGCATTCATCTGCAATTTTTCGTAACGAGTACCCCTTATTGCACAAGGAAATGATCATTTTCGTTACATCTTCACTAAGCGGCTTTATATTGCGTTCCTTCCTCAAAACAGACTGAAGTAACTTGTTCTAGATTCTTCAAATTACAACAACGAAGCGATTGTCAATTTACGATTTACAAAGACACCCACTACTTGTTTCGTATGTCATCTGTGTACCTCAGGGAGCATACAAAACTGGCATCACATATCTGTTTTCGTTAAATTCATTGTATATTGTTACTAAAAACGAAAAAACGGTCTTACATTCTATGTAAAATATTCAATTAATTATTTTAGTCGCTTGTACCCTATTATTTAACGTAAAATATAGCAGTATTGGTCGTTTCAGTGATAAATTAGCGTCGCGTGTTTACACTTTTGCTCATTACACATTACAGCAGAAGAAGCGAGTTTTAGCATCGAACATGGAGTTGATTTTAAACCTATCTACTTTTAATATTTCCAAGTACAATACTGCCAGAGTTGTCTACGTGTAGCACACTACGGTTGCAATGAAAATACGACTTCTGGTATCCAGAAAATGTCAATTTACGAAAACTAGGGAAGGAAGTTTAATGAAAAATGCAAAATTTGATTACTGTCTTCTTTTTGGAATATATGAAGGGAGTTCTGAATGGAGTATGAATCAGTAGAGACGATATACAAGGTGGACCGCGTAAAACAGGACACCTACGTTTATCTTCCCTAGCTGTGATGGTACGAGGAAATTTTGATATTCAATTTAAATGGTTTCAAAGAGCGAATAAGAAGGGAGACAAATTTTTTTTTATAAATGCCATTTTTGTCTGTTTTCTTCAAGGTCGCCTATATTCTTTTTTGCACGAATGTATATATTTTTGTATGTTGTAGCAGACATTATTGTGCATTTAAACATGCATAATAACCTTGGACTTTAACATTTTAAATCGAATATGTAACTTCCTTTCATTGTTGCCGATGAAATTTTCAGCATGCATATAACTAGCAAAAATCTACGAAACGTATTGTTTAAATTTTCATTATGGGCGCAGATATAAAAGTTGCAAAAAGCAACTGTCACTGTTTTCTTCGTAATTTCGACCATTTTCAATTTTTTCAAAATTTTGTTTACACATCACCTAGTAAACTAATCCTTCTAACTTCTAAAGAAAAAAAACTCAAATCGTTCGTTCCAATAAAAAAAAAAGTTATTCCGTTTTAAACGGTGTTCGAATACTTTTGTTCGCCACAGTATATCAAAGATATCAGTCTAATGGAACTTCAAGTCAACGATATCATTATTCGTTGATTAATATCGGCACGAAATGTACACTATCGTTAATGAAATGCCCACCCGGTGTATTGGTATGCATGTATCATAATGACAAATGGAATTAACGCGTAAATTATGACCATTGCCCCATTGTACATGACAGCGTTCAATAATCAATACCCTTTGCGTATCTTACGTTCGAGTGATTAATCATCGAACAAATGTCACGACGCGAACCATTTTAAAGGAGTGTACTTAACGGTAATGACGTTTTTACTGCGATATAATTTTTTCAATTATGAACATTGCAATATACGTGTCCTAATTACTACTTAAAAACTGTTTATAAGCATACACGTTTTATTAATTATTTAGCATACTGACATTGCTCTTACATTTAAATTTATAATTACTATTTAAACGTAATTTCTGCATTTTTAAATTCTGCGTCTAACACTGTGTATACAGGGTGTCCCAGGTTTTAATGGCCAAACGTTGTCAGTATATTCTATCAAACATACATTACCGGCCAAAAGTTTCGAATCGCCTGCTAATTTACGGTAAAATTGAATCCTCTGCTAATTTTTTATAGATTTGAAATTGATGTTACGGAGATCGATAGTATTTTACCTTATTTCGATTGATTTGAGCGAGGAAAAATTGGTTAAATTATTCTTAAAATTGCTAACTTTATTCCGGAAATTTTTGTATAACTTGTAACGCACAGTGATTCCAAACATTTGGCCGGTAGTGTAGGTGTTTTGAAGCTTTATCAAAAAGTTATGGCAACAATACAAAATTAAGAGAAGAATAGCAGACTCGCGGTTACTGCGATATGTGTAATACAGAAACAGATCAGCAATATTTACGTTTACTCTGTTTATGCAAGAAGCAACTAATACTCCATCTCAAAAATGTCCACTGCAATGCAAGATTGACATTAGATAACAGAATTTATTACTCTGCGAATTTCGTTATTATTTTGTTTCATTTCAGTAAATGTATCGTTGATTTTTTGTACCAATTCATTACGCGATCTTATAAATATCGCGCAAATATCGATGATCTATTTCTATATTACATCGCAGTAACCGTGAGTCTGCTATTGTTCTCTTAATTTCGTATTATTGCCATAACTTTTAAATAAAGCTTCAAAAGACCTATGTTTGTATAACATTCTTTTTTATTTCGACCCATGGAATATACTGTCAACGTTTGGCCATTAAAACCTGGGACACCCTGTATAAGGTGCACTAAAAAAAAATTAAAAAATCGATTACCATGTAGGGTTGACATTGTAAGTTAACATTTGACACAAGAATGTATCAGTTTTTCATTTGTACGTAAGTAGTTGCGCGTTCCAAAAACTGCTGTTCAACATAAAATATTTACAAATTTGTTGAATTCTTGAAATAAATAAAAAGTTTTCTAGTATTTCATGAAAGAAGGTTTCAAATTTTATAGAAATATGATTTCTATATCTTTATGAACTATCCAACAGAATACAGGTACAGTAAATTCTCCACAAGTGTCAGTCCGCAAGGAACCTAAACCTGACACTTGTAGAGTCAGGGACTACGTTTCCGAGCCTCGCGCCCGCCTTTGTAGTTTGCCGAACGTAGACAAGGACAGCGAATAAAAGATAAGGATGAAACGTGAGTCGAGGCAACTAAGCGATTTAAATACCAACTTTTTTAATTTTACGTTTTTTTATCCCGAAATTTTTTTTTTTTAATTTCAGATGAAAAAAGTAAAATTAAAGAAATTATATTTTTCTATTATGAATTGTCGAGCCGTGAAATCTCGTAAAAGAAACCGAGTGATGTAGCGTTACACGCTTGACTGACTGCGAGCGAGATAACATAGGCGCAGCAATGACGCTTCTATACTGACACTTGTAGAATCCAAACTGACTGACACTTGTAGAGAATTTACTG